AGTCGCAAACGACTTGACGGCACATAACAACACCAACAACAACTGTCTAATTGGATCCAACTGGCACAGGAGCAAATTGTCTCTCCTCCAATGGAGCATCTGGTGGGGTTGAACTGCACTCCTTCGGAATTGCATCACAGCTTCTTGCCATTAGGCCACCAGAGCTCCTACTTCCAACTTTTTGAGAAAGTGCCAGACCACCTTCCGTAGTGGCTATACCATTTTACCTTCCCACCAGCAGAAGAGTTCCAGTCTCTCCACAACCTAACCAGCATTTGTTGTTTGCTGCCCTGTTGAACTTAGCTTTTGTTGATGGGGTTAGATGATACCTCATAGTTGTTTTGATTTTCATCTCTCTGAGAGCTAGGGATTTTGAATATTTTTTCATGTGTTGTTTGTCACATGAATGTCTCCTTTAGTGAAGCAGCTATTCACATCCTGTGCCCATTTTTGTCTTTTGTGCTTTACCTTTTCTTTTTGAGGTGCTGGAGTATCCTATAAATTTTAGATACAAGTCCCTTATGAAATACGTCATTGGCAAATATTTTCTCCCAGTCTGTGGGTTTCCTTTTACCCTGTTGGGGAAGTTTTTTGATGTACATAGGGATTTGATTCTAAGGCCCTTTCATTTGTGTTATTCTCTCCTGATTGTATATCACCATCTTCTTTTGATGCTCCCTGCGTCATTGAAGATTTTGTCCATGGAATCCTTAAGTATTGCAACTCAGGGCTTGAATTTACTCTTCAGTTTTTTTCAGCTTGTCACTGTATTTTTTTAAAAAGTATTTGCAATAAAGAAAACATTGAATAGAATTTTGTCATTAAGTTTCCAGCCTCATTTCTGTCACCAGGACCATATTTTCTGTCTTTGTTTCTAACTTTTTCATTCTGTTGTTACTGTTAGGTGGTCTTGAATACGACTCGTAGCAACTCTATAAATAACAAATCTGAACCCATCCTCATAATGCCTGACTGACTCAAGCCCATTGCTGTAGTCACTATGTCAGTCCACTTGGTTGAGGGTCTTTCTCTCCTTCGCTGTCCCTCCACCTTTCCAAGCATGATGTCCTTCTCCAGGAAACAGCCTCTCCTAGCAACATGCCCAGAGTATGTGAGACAAAGCTTCACCATCTTTGCCTCCAAGGAATATTCTGAGCACACCTTCTCCAAAACATCTGTTTGTTCTTTTGTAATTTCATAGGATATCCAGTACTGTTTTCCAGTACCACAGTTCAAAGCCATCAATTCTTCTATTATCCCTATTCATTGTCCAGCTCTCAGATGTATAGCAAGTGACTAAAAAGATCATGGTCTGAATCAGGCACACCTAAGTCCTCCACCTTAGCACTGTTATTGCTCCTTAATAATTTGGAGAGGTTCCCCGCTACAGACTTTCCTGGTATAATCAGAAGATCTCTTGACTGCTGGTACGAAGAGTGTTGATTTTCATTCTAGTCACCAATTATTATTAATGCATCTTGATTGCATGCTGACTCATTTTCAAACTGCAAAAGCTGGTAGAAGTCTCAGCTTTACTTTTGTGGTTGGTACATGTATTTGATTAATAGTTGTATTAACAAGTGTTATTTGTATGTATGGATAGAATTTTATCACTCACAGTGTTGTACTTCAGGATATGTGACACCATGCTCTTCAGTCTATCATTCCCTGCATAATAGATCATATGATTGAAATTATTATCCTTAATAGCAGTTTTAAAGAACTATTTTGATTAAAAACATATAACAGAAAAATTAATTTTTCACATATACAGTTCAGTGGCATTAGTTACATTCATCATGGTTGACTATTGACCAATTCTTTTTAGGATAGTGATTCTACTGCTTCTTTCCACCTTGTTTTTAATTCACTATTTTGCTAAAAGAGTCTTTCAGTATTGCAGCTCAGGCTTGGAGTTTTTTCTTCATTTCTTTCCACTTGAGAACTTCTAAGCAAGTTTTTTCTTTCTAGTTTTATAAATCAAGCTCTTTACACATTTCATCGGTAATTGTCTTCTCTAGTTCCCCCTTGAAACATCTGATCAGCTCTCTTCATTTCTTCCATTTCATTTAGCTAGAGCAAGGTTTAGAGTCTCTTTTGACATTCATTTTGATCTTTACTAAATTTTTAATGATCTTTTGCTTTCCTGTCTTAATTTATTATATCTTTGATGTCATATCACAACTTGTCTTCAGTCATTAGTATTCATTGTATCAGATTTATTCTTGAGATAGTCTGTAAATTGAGGTGGGATTTACTCAAGTCATAGTTTAGCTATTGTGAACATTAATTTTTTTTTTTAACTTGAACTTAACTTTGAGCTATTATATCCCAGAAGTCAACCCCTGGCCTTCCTATCAATGATGATTTTCTATCATCTCTTTTTACAGATACAGCCAGTGTGATTCCTGTGTATTTCATCAGGCAAGGTTATATATACATGTGTGTTGGTGGTAGTCTTAGGTGCCGTCAAGTTGCTTACGACTCATAGCGACCCTATGTACAACAGACCTAAACCCTGCTCTATCCTGTGCCAATCGTACTGTCTCAGACACACCCATCCCGATTACCCTAGTCACTGAGTCAGTCCACCTCGTAGAGGGTCTTCCCCTCCTGCGCTTTCTCTCCACCCTACCAAGCATGATGTACCTCTCCAAGGACCAGTCCCTCCTTACAGCATGTCCAAAGTATGTCAGACGAAGCTTAAGAATCCTTGCCTCCAAGGAGCAGCCCAGTTTAACCCTCTCCAGGTTGAATCTGTTTGTTTTCTTGGCAGTCTACATATACATATATATATATGTGTATATATATATATATATACACACACACACACACACACACACACACATATATACACACACATACATACATATACATACACACACATATATCATGACCATAAGTTGTTTATATTTACAAAGAATATGTTACTTGGTCTCGCAGAATTTTATCACACAGTCACTGGTATAATTTCTGTCATGAAGGCCATATTTTCCTAGTACTGATCCTTCCTCTTTGTTCCTAACTTTCACATTTCAGTAACAGTAATTGTCAGTCCATCTTGATGATGTGTTTGATCATTTTCAGAACACAGAAGTTTGTAGAAAAGTTTTCATTTCTTTATCTTTGGTTTTAGTGATTGGTGTATAAATTTGAATATTAAGGTTTTTTTAAATATTAAGTTTATAATATATATCAGTTTATATAACTGATCTACCTTCTGTGTGTATGGATGTTTTCCAATCATTGACAGAGACATCCTGGAGGAGAAATCTTGAAATGTTCTTTTTGGTGATAAATGGAACACCATTCTTTTTCCTTTTGCCATTCTCAGTATACTAGACCATCTGATTGTCTTACTTGAAATGACCAGTCTGTTCAGCTGACTAATGCCTAGCACATAGATATCTCTTCATATATTCTTTCCAGTTTTTAACTTTTGATTTTCATTCAGAATTCTGATTATTGATAGTATGAAACAGTGTGAATGAAGGAAGGAATGTGTGAAACCCATATATGTGAATGAAATACCATGTATATAAACTTTGTATGCAAACCAATATAAAATAAAAAATAAATTTGTAAAAAATTCTCATTACTAATGGATATTAGCAGCTGTTTCTTCCCATTTTGAATGGTGCCACATCATCAGAAAAAGATGAAAGCTTTACTTCACAAACATCATTAAGGCCAGTACTTTGAGAAGGTGGCTCTTTCCCAAGGGCTTCCAAGTGCCTTGCATTGAGGGCCATATTATCCTCTGGCACTGTGACTGACAGACTGCTCCACAGCCATTCACAAAATTTCACTGGCTAATGTTTTAGGAGTAGATTGCTAGGGCCTTGCCAGTCTATCGTAGTCTGGAAGACCCATTGAAACTTGTGCACTACGAGTGACTATGGTATTTAAAATACCAATGTCAGCTTCCTAATATTTAAGCTACCACAGTACAACAAACTGTTAGTTGAAGATGAATGAGATAACATTATACTTCTCTTTTTACTCTTTATCATTTTAATGGTTTTGAAATTAATACCTACACATTATTCTTTGAGAAGAAAAATGTGACATCAGGATTGGAAGAAAGTCATCCACAACTTGTGTAATGCAGATGACACAACCTGCTTGCTAAGTGACTGAGATTTAAGATGAGTGCTGCAGAAGATGGACTATAACATCGCAACATCAGGAAGACAAAAGTCCTCACAACTAGGCCAGTAGACAACATCGTGATAGATGGAGAAAGGATTGTAATTGTCAAATATTTCCTCTTGCTTGGATTGATAATCAACAAACACGCTTGGTACCAGCAGTCAGGGGATGAGGAGATGTCTTGCACTGGGCAAGTGTGATGTCAGTGGGGATGGCACAGGATAGAACAGGGTTTAGAATGGTTGTGCATAGGGCCTCTCTGAGTCATACTCAATGGCATCTAATGACATCACCCCCCACCATCTACTTTATATTTATTTATGTCCTCCTGTATGTTTTTTGTAAGGAGTCTTGGTGACACAGTAGGTTAGGTGTTGAGCTACTGACGGAAAGATCGGCCAGCAGTTAGAACTCCCAGCCACTCGGGAGACCAAAGGGGCAGTTAGCTTTCATAAATACTTTCAGTCTCGTAAAACAAATGGGGCACGTCTGCCCTTTCCTGCAGTGCCACTATGTGTCAGAAGCCCCACATGGGCTGGGTTTTGTATTTTCCTAAGGAGCCTGGTGGCATGGTGGTTAGGTTCTTCTTTGCTCCGTTTTAAAAGATCAGCAGCTTGAGCTGACCAGCCACTCCATGGAACAAGATGTGCTGCTGTAAAGGTTACAGCCTCGCAGACCCTACAGGGTGCTTCTGTGGAGGCCTCAATCAAGTTGACAACAGGGATTTGGTTGTTTAAAATGTTATTTCTATATAATCTACAGTTTATGTTAACAATGAAGGAATTTGCTTACAGTAAGACTCCTGGCTTACCCCTGATTTTGATGTGTTCTGTTATGTTCAAGTATAGATATCCAGCGGGAAGAAGAAAAAGTGAAACGCTCTGTGAAGGATGCTGCCAAGAAAGGCCAGAAGGACGTCTGCGTGGTGCTGGCCAAGGAGATGATCCGGTCGCGGAAGGCAGTGAGCAAGCTCTACGCGTCCAAAGCTCACATGAACTCTGTGCTCATGGGCATGCGGAACCAGCTGGGTAAGACACTGCTTGGCGATGACGCCATTGGCAGGTGTGGTGTGACTGCTGGGTGTGCTTGCTGCTGTCGTCCCCATGGCTGTCCTCCAGCAAGAGCACATTTAGCATCAGCTTTTCGTCCTTTATGTTGTCTTCTTAATCGGGCTGTTTTACAAAGAAAATACTATACTTTCATTGTTGTATATGGATGGGTTTTTTTTAAGGATTGGTAAAACTGACATTTGATTCTGCATTTAGGATTTAGAATGTATTTACTCACATGAGCAATGTTAGAAACCCGACAGTTGAATCCTCAGAGTAAGAGGCTGGCCTGTGTTGTGTGGCAAGAGTTTTTGAAGTATGTTCGTAAGAATATATATCGAGACCATTCATTGTGTGAGTATTATCCATCTTGTGATTATAAATCACGTCTTACTTTCCTTTTATCTCACTCATAGATATCAACTGTTTCCAGACTTAACACTTTTTCACAATGCTACTCTGAGTATTTTTGTTTATATCCCATTCTACATATGTATAAAAATGTTGACTTCTCATGCATGTAAGTGGCAGGTGCTTTGCAAATTGCCTAGCAGTTGTTTAGACCCAGCAGTACTCCGCGGAAGGGTGAAGAGAGACTACAGTCCTGGGAACCCTGTGGGGTGGCCCCGTGTACACACACCCAAGTCCAGTGCACAGCAACGGATGGCTGGGAAGGGTTTCTTCAGGATTGTGAGATTTGTAAATTTTGGTAAAATTGCAAAATAATTCTTTAAGACAACTTTACTCTTACTTGCAGTAAATCAGAATTCATTCCTGTCTTTCTCAGGAACACTTGAACTTGTCAGATCTTTTTGTTTTTGAGAAATAGTCTGTTTTAATATTTCTTTGAGAGCTAGGGAACTTGAGCATTCTTTTCACCCTTTTATTCTGTCTACCTTTTTGAGCAATTACTGCCCACCAAATAATCTAAAATTTAGAAAAAACCTCTTCCTCTGTAGCATGAATTTTTAACAGAAACCTGTAAGTTCTCTTCTGTACAATACGTAAGTTAAGAGCCTGTTTAAATATACAGTATGTTACAAGGTTTTCCGCTAATACATATTGTAAAGACTGTACTCCTTACATCAGTGGCTTTCTGACACCTGGAAAGCTGAGTGTCTTCTACTTCATCTCTGCATGTTAAAGCATTGGAGGGCCCAGGTCTAGATCTGCTTTGCTTACCTGTCTCTACTTTCTCACCCTAGGTGTTCTCTGCTGATTCTTTCCTTTAAATGCCACTAGTTTTCAGATTTTTCGCTTCCAGCCTGACTTTATCACTTTTGTGTACAGTTTACTTGTCCACCCAGTTATCTCAGTGGATATCTCAGAGTGAATAGGGCCCACAGAAGATTTTGGATTTCCTTTCCCCCACAGATGCTCTGTCTTTATAAGTAGATCTACCATCTACCAGCTTTTCTTAAGCCCCAAGCCTCAAGAGTCCTCCTGCCTTCCCCACCTTTCACTCACATCCACCCACCCCACCCCCACATACACACACCCATCCCCCTTTCTTCACAACCCTTTCACTGTCCTTCTAGGTGTTCTTAGATGCTATGGAAAAGAAAGAGGAGCTTCAAAATTTTCCACTTAGTTCAGATTACTACCGTCTCTATTTATTTTTTTTTCCAAGTTGGCATTATCTCTTTGCTCGGTTACTGTAGTTGTTTTGTGTTGTTGAGTGAGAATTGACTCAGCTTTTCCCCAACGGGTTTGTCACCAGAGTACAGATGTTGGTGAATATCATTGCAAAACCTAAGCCAAAATGGGAAAGAAGACCCATATTAACATCGTCGTCATTGGACATGTTGATTCAGGTAGGTCCACCACAAATGACCATCTGATCTACAAATGTGGTGGGATCAAAAAGAGAACCATTGAGAAATTCGAGAAGGAAGCTGCAGAGATGGGAAAGCGCTCCTTCAAATATGCCTGGGTCTTGGATAAATTGAAAGCTGAACGTGGCATCACCATTGATATACCCCTGTGGAAATTTGAGACCAGCAAGCAGGACACAGAGACTTTATAAAAAAAAATTATTACAAGAGCGTCACAGGCTGATTGTGCTGTCCTGATTGTTGCTGCTGGTGAAGTTGACACTGGTATTTCAAAGAGCGGGCAGACCCGTGAGAATGCACATCTGGCTTACACACTGGGTGTGAAGCAACTGATTGTTGGTGTTAACAAAGTGGATTCAACGCAGCCACCCTACAGCCAGAAGAGAGATGAGGAAATCGTTAAGGAAATTAGCAACTGCATCAAGAAAATTGGCTACAACCCTGACACAGTAGCCTTTGTGCCAATTTCTGGTTGGAATGGTGACAACATGCTGGAGCCAAGTGCTAACATGCCTTGATTCAAGCGATGGAAAGTCACCCAGAAGGATGGCAGTGCCAGTGGGACTACACTGCTTGAACCTTTGGATTGTGTCCTGCCTCCCCAGGATGTCTACAGGATTGGTGGTATTAGTACTGTCCCTGTGGGCAGAGTGGAGACTGGTGTTCTCAAGCCTGGCATGGTGGTCACATTTGCCACTGAAGTCAACATTACCACTGAAGTCAAGTCTGTTGAAATGCACCATGAAGCTTTGAGTGAAGCTCTGCCTGGTGACAATGTTGGCTTCAATGTTAAGAACGTCTCTGTGAAAGATGTTCGACGTGGCAACGTGGCTGGTGACAGCAAAAATGACCCACCCATGGAAGCAGCTGGCTTGACTACTCAGGTGATCGTTTTAAGTCATCCTGGCCAAATCAGTGCTGGTTATGCACCTGTGCTGGATTGTCACACTGCTCACATTGCTTGCAAGTTTGCTGAGCTCAAAGAGAAGATCGATCGCCATTCTGGTAAGAAACTGGAAGATGGCCCCAAATTCCTGAAGTCTGGTGATTCTGCCATTGTTGATACGGTTCCTGGCAAGCCCATGTGTGTGGAGAGCTTCTCTGACTACCATCCTCTAGGTCTTTTTGCTAAGACATGAGGCAGACTGTTGCTGTGGGTTTCATCAAAGCAGTGGACAAGAAGGCTGCTTGACGGTCACCAAGTCTGCTCAGAAAGCTCAAAAGGCTAAATGAATACTACCCATAACACCTGCCACCCCAGTCTTAATCAGTGATGGAAGAACGGTCTCAGAACTGTTTGTCTCAATTGGCCATTTGAAGTTTAGTAAAAGACTAGCTAATGATAACAGTGCATCGTAAAACCTTCAGAAGGAAAGGAATGTATTGTGTAACATTTCTTTTTCGTGTGGCAGTTTTAAGTTATTAGTTTGCAAAATCAGTACTTTTAAAATGCAAACAACTTGACCAAAATTTGTCACAGAATTTTGAGACCCATTAAAACAAGTTTAATGGGGGGAAAAGATAAAAAAGAATTAGAGAGCTGACCCTTCCATGGATTTTTAGAGGTTGTAAATAATATGAGAGGAGATTATCCCTCTTTCTACAGTGAAGCAGCCAGGAAAATTATATGCCTTTGTGATGGCAGCACAGCCACTTAACACTAGGCCACCAGAGCTCCCCAATATTACTTTTGTTAGGTGTCTTGAGTCAACTACAGCTCGTAGTGACCCTTTGAGCAACAGATCTGAACCCTGCCCTATCTTAAGCCATCTTCATCATCTCTGATATCTTAAGCCTGTTACCACGGTTCCTGTGTCAATACTTGGTTCAGGGTCTTCTATTTCACTGACCCTCTGCCTTTCCAGGCATGATGTCCTTTTCCAAGGACTGACCCCTCCTAAGAACAAGCCCAAAGTATGTGAGAAAAGGTGCAGCACTATGACTGGATCTTCTCTAGGACGTGTGTATTTGTTCTTTTGACAGTCCATGGATATTCAGTACTCTTCTACAACACAACGCAAAGACATTGATTTTCTTCTGTCATCCTTAGTCACTGTCCAAATTTCAGAAACATAGCAAGTAATTGAAGAGACTGTGCCTTGAATCAGGTGCAAACTGGTCCTTAAATTGACCTTATTGATCTTTAACCCTTTGGAGAGGGCCTTGACAGGAGATTTTCCCGATGTAATACATCTTTTGTTCCTATCCCAAAGAAAGGTGACCCAACAGAGTGTGGAAACTATAGAACAATCTCACTGATTTCACATGCAAGCAAGATTTTACTGAAGATTTTCCAAAAACACCTGGAACAACACAACAGCAGAGAACTACCAGAAGTCCAGGCTGGATTTAGAAGGGGTCGTGGTACTAGGGATATTGTAGCTGATGTTAGATGGATCTTAGCTGAAAGCAGAGAATACGAGGAATGTCTATCTGTGTTTCATTGACTATGCAAAGGCATTTGACTGTGTGGATCATAACAAACTGTGGCTGACTCTGAGAAGAATGGGAATCCTAGAACCCTTGATCGTGCTAATGCGAAACCTATACTTGGACCGGGAGGCAGTCGTCAGAACAGAGCAAGGGAACACTGCATGGTTCAAAATTGGGAAGGGTGTATACCAGGGATGCATCCTGTCTCCATACCTTTTCAACCTATATGCAGAACAGATTATCCGGGAGGCTGGGCTCTATGAGGAGAAATGTGGGGTCAAGATTGGTGGGCGATTTATCAACAATGTGCGTTATGCAGATGACACAACCCTGCTTGCTGAAACTGAAGAAGACCTGAAGCATCAGCTGCAGAGTGTCAAGGACTGCAGCCTTCAATATGGATTGAGGCCCAATGTCAAGAAAACAAAGATTCTCACCACTGGACCAATGGGCAGCATCAGGATGGATGGTGAAGAGATTGAGATTGTACACAGCTTTAGTTTGCTTGGCCCCACAGTCAACACTCTTGGCACCAGTAGCCAGGAAATTAAAAGGTGCATTGCTATGGGAAAATCTGCTGTTAGGGACCTCTCCAAAGTACTGAAGAACATTGGTGTCTCTCTGGAGACTAAGGTGCATTTGATACAGGCCATGGTCTTCATAATCCCTTGTTATGCACCAGAGAGTTGGACAGTGACCAAGGAGGATAGA